TGTCTTACTCAAAAGACTTCCATAAATATCCCATTGATGCCTCTCTGTCTGGAAAAGGTTACACAACCATTTTAAAGTTTGGGGAAGAAGAGTTGGGTCAATATAGCCAGGGAATCTTCTCAGGGATGGCTGTCCTGTCAAGGTCATTCTAAGAGTGTGGCATAAATTGTCCAGAAAGTCAGAAAAAACCCCCAAAAAACTCAACCCCTGGAAGAGTGCCTAGGATTCTGCAGGCTCTCTTCCTTCACCAAATCAGTGTGACTCCATATCAGAAAAACCCTGGATAAAAGTTGAATTCATCGTTCTCTCAGAAGACCACCAATCCTCATCTCAAGTTGCCAAAACACACCTGGAAAAAAAGGGGGGGGGCTACAATTGCATGATCATGGCCACCACCTTGACGCTTTTGACCTCCCCTGGGAGGACTGCTGTAGGCCTTGTTCAAGATCCTCCATCTCCTCATTTCTCATTATTCTAAACGTCTCTTTGCTATCCTCCAGCACACATACATGTAAAAAAAAATGCCACCAAAATCCAAGACTTTGGTACATGCTTATAACATGCCCTCAAGTTGGTGTCAATGCTTAGCGATCTCATAGATTCTTTCCATACACTCTTAAGCTGGTATTTATTTCTAACCTGGGATGCAAATTGTTGTGGCTAAGGACCCTCCACTCTCCCCCACCCTGGTCATCTCTCACCTCTTCTTTTCAAAGCCCTAACCCCAGAAAGAATGATTCCCAATCTTGCCTTCTGCCCACATCAAATGTTAAACCTCAGCCTTAGGGTAGTACAGAACTGCCAGCCCAATTTAGGGCTGGACAAACATCTTTGGGGGCAACTGGCTTGTCTTGCTCCCCTTAAATGTTACTGTTAACTGCTTTGGGGGTTTCCAAGAAGATGAGAAGCAGGATGCAGAGGATTAAAATAAACAGCATGGAGACCAAAGGATCAGCTCTGGCAGCTTTGCTGGTCCTATGATTGAAAGCTCACGTCCTCTAAGATGATGATGCTTTAAGTTCCAAGTCAAACAACAAACTGGTGTCCAAGTCAGATGATGATTGACAGAGATAGACAGACAGACAGACATTCAGCCTTCCTCACTGTGGCATCCTCCAGATGTTTTGGGACTACCACTCCCAGCTGGTTGGGGATTATGGGCATCAAGGTCCTCCGTGTCTTGAGGGTTCTGCATGGAGGTGGTTGAATTTGTATCCCTGAATGTAAATGGGGACTTGTTTGCATGGCAGAGCAAGATCTTGTCTTTCTTCCAATCCTTTCCTTGTCCAATGGTTGTATTTGAAGTAGTTTTATCATCAGCGTAAATGGCTCCATTGTGCAAATCAATTACTGACAATAGTCATGGTTTTGAAAGAGGTGGGAACTGCTGTCTGAATCTGCCCCCAGCCTGGCTATGGTACAGGAGATGCAAGGACCAACAGATGCTTCTTCTGGAGCTGAGGAGGAGGAGGGGAAATATGTGGGCCCACTCCTGAGGGTCTGAAAGAGTCTGTCTAGAAACAAGTGTGTGGCTGTTTTCATCCACAGTGTTGGGAGGGCCAGAACTGTGTGACTAAACCCAGCCCTGTGCCTGGCTTCTTCTGTATTAAGAGGAGCCCCAATCGCCCCACAGTTGCAAAGGGGGGGCAAAGAGAGGCTGAGCACGAGGCCTTCCTCAATTCTCTAGCTGCAGTTTCCAAAGAGCCACGCAGCTAAGTTGGGCCACCCAAAGCTTTTGCCAGTTCTGCAGAAGGGTGCAATTGAATGGTCGCGCACGTAGCCCAGTTGCTAAAGTACTTTTCTAATGCAACACATCCCCCATTGTTACTCGGTGCTGGGAATCCAGATATCCCTTCCCTCCCACACACGGAAGCACCAATTCCCTTACGTGGGGAAGGCGTACTAAGAACACTGTATTGGCCCCAAGTTTGATTGCTATTAATTTTACAGACTACTGTGGTTGCCAATGTTGATCATGGTGGTGATGAAGATTTTAAATGTGTGCTCCGTTTCAGTACGATGTGAAGATTGAAGCCCTGCCCACGCAACTCACACACTCTCTCTCGCACACACAGACCTGCACACACCAGTGCCTGCAGGCGATGCGGCAGTGGGTTGAGAGCTGAATCCATCTTAGTTTCAGGAACAGGTTGCCCCATCTTTAGCTGCGGTCACCGCAATCCAACGTTTCCTACACTGGTGACCAGCTTCTGTCCTCCCCAGTATCGTGACCTTCCACAACACAGGACTCAGCGATCAGAGGGGGCTGGGGGGGCAGCATATCTGAGGCTGCCCTCCAGATTTTTGCAGGGTGGTTTACAGCAGAAAACCCCTTCAGGGTTTGAACCACGAGGGGAGTGTGCCCTTTTGCACAAGCAGGCAGGTTAGGTTAGAGCTGGAAGATTTTCCCCCATGAATGCCCCCCATGAGGTTCTAACCCAGTTTTTTTCAACCTTGGCAACTTTAAGATGTGTGGACTTCAACTCCCAGAATTTCCCCCCCCCCCCCCCCC